AAAAAAAAAAAAAAAAAAACCGTCGGTCTATTCTCCTTTCCCTACTCTCTTTCCCAAATCCTCCGCCGTCTCCAAATCTTTCGCCGCCGCCGGAGTCCTTCTCCCTAAATCTCTACAATCTGAATTATCCCCCAATGACCAAATCGTCTTCTCCGGTTCAAGTAACTGCGTCTGCGACTCCTTGTCGTCGATGTTCGATTCGTCAGTCGAGGGCGCTGAGCATGGAGGTTTCGGCCAGGCATACGGTTGTTCACCATCAATGGAGTAAGTCTTTTCCCAAATTTGCGTCTCTCTCCCAAAATCTCAGTTCCATTATCAAGGTAAAGTCTTTTTTGTTTTATTTTCTAATTCCAGACTTGTAGTGAAGATCATGTAAATTTGTGACTTGTGTGATGTTTATGTTGACTGTATGTGTTCTGATTCTTCTTATTGAGAGAATAGAGTGCTTAGTTCTGAATTTTTATTTGGATAGTTGTACAGAGTACAGATAGTTGTATTGTACAGTAATGTATCTTGGGAGGGAGTTTGTATGCTTCTTAGATTAGGTATTTGGGCCACACCATTAATTCTCTATTACATGTATCTTGGGAGGGAGTTTGACAACAATATGAATTTACTGCTAAAATGTTGGGTCTCACACCTTTCTCCAGAATCGGTTGATCAAACTCAACGGAGACTAAGGTGAGAAGAAAACTGTAACTTGCTGCTTTGGGGTGCTATTGGGAGATTCTTGTGATTGGAACTTTAATTCTTGTATGATGATGATTTCAGGACTTTCTTTCATGTTTTATTGTTTTTGTGGATCTTGAATCAATGAGGTTATGTTAAAGGACTCTATGGCTTTGCTGGGAGATTGTATGAGGTTAATGTTTGATAAAAGTAGCTTACAGGAGTCGGAGAGAAACTTTTTATTCATGTTTAAGTAATTTGTCAATTATTCAGGTTTTTCTTCTACTTATGGTATTATGTTATCATTATTACCACATGGTACTTTGTGTAATTTCTAGTAGTTGTGAAGTTACACATCAGATACTGTATCTTGCTTTTATGAAGGATTTTAGTACTTTGTTTGTTTGTTTTGGTAAACATACATTTATCTGCTATTAAACTAAGCAAGCTTGAAGACTTGATTTATCACTCTTTTAAATTTAATAATAAATAATAAGAGTTTTATCCGATTTGGAAATTTAAAGATTTCTCAACATTAGTATTTTCATTTTTAGTGGTAATAAAATTTCTGCTTTTTCAAACCGTGGAAAGCATTGAAAGAAGAACACAGCGGGAGGGAGTGATCCACTCAATTACATCGACCATTTTACTTGAATAGGAGTTGGAAATTAAAATGTTTCTCACATTAGTATTTACATTTTTGGTGGTGATGCTGTTAGGGGTTTTGGATATACATAGTATAAGTCGTGTTAATTTGTTTCTCTTATGATATGTGCTTGGTTCTATGGAGTTCAAGATCTATGGGGGATTTGGATATACAATGTATGAGTTCTTTTAATTTGTTTGATTTGCTTTGTATTGTTTGAGTTCTTTTAATTTATTGTTGTACCTTCCTGGAACTCAAGATCTAGCAGAACCTCCTACAACTCCCACATTAGACCATATTTTTCGTATCTTATTATTAGTAATTCATGAGATCATTATTTATTTGAAATACTGACGAACCGCAATGAACTAGGGGGGCCGGCTGTGCATCGCACAGCGAGTGGGTGCTAGTATTATTTACACGCACTAGTTAAAACTAAGCGGTGATCTTAAATTCGACAAAAACCCACAACCTGACCCGCAGGCTGCGCTTCCTAGTTAGGTTACTCTTTGCCTGGGAAAAATGATGTATTCATATGACTCGCGTAACTTTCTTCTTTATGTTCTTCTGCTTTGATTCCAGGAAAAATATAGCTTAATACAATAATGGTGGGCATTTCGAGCAGAGGGTATGGGGAATGGGTGGTCGGATGGTCCCCACTTAAGGCCTCGGAGCCATTTTCACACCTTAAGGCGGTGGCTTACCTTCTTCTGTTAAACCCATTCCACCTTCTACTTAAAACACTTGTAAGAAATATAATCTGATGTTTCCTTATTGTTTCCTTGCAATTTCATTACACTTTCCTTGCAGCTGCAAAGCACTTTCATAGCAGCCATTTTAGGATGATTTTTAGGACTTTTCAACTTAAGTAATTTCTAGGAAAGTCACTAGATAGTTGTTTTTAGTTCTTATAAATAGGGGTGCAGTTTTTGTTTTGTAAACACACAGAAAAACTTAATACTCAATACATTGAGTTGTTCACAATCTTCTTCTTTCATCCTAAAAGTGTTAGTTTGTGCCGGAAGCATTTTTGCTTACCTGAGCAGTGAACGGGCAGGGACTAACAAGTGGCATCAGAGCCATGGCAAGCCAAGATGTTGCGTCGATGGTGCAAGGGAGCAGAGCGTACGCTTCACCACGCCAGGAGGTCATCATCCACAGGACCGTGCGGGACGTTGGCGGGGCTAACTGGCCGGTCCTCACACGCACAAACTACGGCGAATGGGCGGTGCTGATGAAGGTCAAGTTGCGTGCGCGCAAGCTTTGGCGGGCCATCGAGGAAGGCACCGAGGATGAAGAAGAGGACTGCGCAGCGATGGAAGCGATTCTGTCCGCTGTGCCTCACGAGTACGTGGAGTCGCTGGGCGCAAAGGACTCCGCAAAGGCTGCTTGGGACGCCCTCAAGGCCATGCGCATCGGGTCTGATCGCGCAAAGAAGGCGAAGGCGCAGCAGTTGCGGCGGGAGTACAAGGCGCTGGCATTCCGCGACGGCGAGGCAGTGGAGGATTTCTCGCTCCGTTTGCAGTCGCTCGTCAGTCAGCTGGCGGCATACGGCGTCACCATCACCGACGAGGAGGCGGTCGCAAAATACTTGCGCGTCGTGCCGCCTAAGTATGCCCAGATAGCGCTCTCCATCGAGACGTTGATCGACATGTCCACCCTCACGATTGAGGATGTGACTGGGCGCATGCGGGCAGTGGATGACCGCGTGGAGACGGCGACGATATCTACCAGCGGCAAGTTACTATTGACCGAGGAAGAATGGGCAGCTCGTATGCGCGAGCGGCGACCCGGGGAAAGCTCCTCTAGCCGTGGCGGCTACGGCAAGCATCGTGGCAAGGCCCCGCAGAAGAAGGACGGCAACAACGCGCGTCCGATCGACAAAGATACTTGTCGACGCTGCGGGAAGACTGGGCACTGGGCCCGAGATTGCAAGATTCTCAAGGAGAAAAAGGAGGCGCACCTCGCGCAAGTGGACGATGAGGAGCCATCTCTTCTCATGGCGAAGTTCTGCACGTCGCACGACGTCGAACCAGAGTTAGAGAAAGTCAAGGCAGTGGTTGCGGAGCAGGGAAAGGCACTGCAGGCAGTTCACCTCGACGAGTCGAGTGCTCAAGTCCACCTTGGACGAATGGGCGGTGGCATGGAGCAGAGGTGGTACCTGGACTCTGGCGCTAGCAACCATATGACCGGCTCCAAGGAGGCCTTCTCCGAGCTTGATAACGGCGTGACGGGGACGGTGAAGTTCGGCGACGGCTCGAAGGTGGAAATTCGAGGTCGCGGCACTGTCATCTTCCGGTGCCAGAACGGCGAGCACCGCGCATTGACGGATGTGTACTATATCCCGCAGTTGCGTTCAAGCATCATCAGCATCGGGCAATTGGACGAGCACGGCTGCGAGGTGCTTATCAAAGGCGGCGTGCTAAAACTCCAGGACCGAGACAGCGGCTGCTGGCTAAAGTCCAGCGTTCCCGGAACCGCCTCTACCTCCTCGACTTGAAAGTGGAGCAACCGGTGTGCTTGGCTGTACGACACACTGAGGAGCCATGGCTATGGCATGCTCGGTTTGGCCATTTGAGCTTCGACGCACTCGGTCGACTGAGGAAGATGGTGCGCGGGCTCCCGCACATTGAGCACGTAGGCAAGCTGTGCGATAGCTGCCTGGCAGGGAAGCAGAGGCGGCTGCCTTTTCCAAAGGCGGCCAAGTATCGTGCAGCGGACGTCCTCGAGCTCGTCCACGGCGACCTATGCGGGCCGATCACGCCGGCTACGCACGGCGGAAGACGCTACTTCCTGCTGCTCGTGGACGACTGTAGCCGTTTCATGTGGTTGCATCTCCTAACGAGTAAGGATCAGACGGCGGAGGCGATCAAGCGGTTCCAGGCGCGGTCTGAGGCAGAGTCCGGGAAGCGGCTGCGCGTACTAAGAACAGATCGCGGTGGTGAGTTCACATCTGTGGAATTTGCCGCGTACTGTACAGATCAGGGGGTGGTTCGCCATCATACTGCGTCATATTCACCACAACAAAACGGCGTAGTGGAGAGGCGGAATCAAACTGTGGTGGGCATGGCTCGAAGCATGATGAAGGCAAAGAGCATGCCAGCGGAGTTCTGGGGAGAGGCTGTGAGCACGGCGGTGTTCATCCTCAACCGCGCGCCCACGAAGGCCCTGAAGGGCATGACACCATTCGAAGCTTGCATGGCAGGCAACCCGACGTCTCGTTTCTGAGGACGTTCGGGTGCATTGGCCATGTGAAGAAGACGAAGCCCTTCCTGTCCAAGCTTGAGGATAGGAGCACACCGATGGTGTTCCTAAGCTACTAAGAGGGGAGCAAGGCCTATCGGCTCTACGATCCACGTGGAGGCAAGGTGGTGGTCTCGCGGGATGTGGTGTTCGATGAAATGGCGGCCTGGGATTGGGAGAATCCTGGCACGGGGGAAGCCCGTGACGTCGGCGGTACATTTGTCATCGAGCATTTGGTGATCCACGGAGGAGATGCGGGATCAGAGGAGCCAGCTGCGGACGCGCCAAGTCCAGCAACTGTGGTTGTGTCAGTTGAGCCGCAAAGTCCGGCCATGGGCACGGGCGAAGAGTCTCCACCAGCAGCTGCGCACACGCCCCCACCACAGTCCCCTGCTGCGGCAGGACAGGGGACACCTCCAGCGACGACAGTTGAGTTCACCTCTCCTCCAAGCAACATCGACGAGTATGTGGATGCTTTCCACGACGGTGAGGAGGTGAGGTTTCGCAGGATGGACAACCTCGTTGGCAACTCGGTTGTACCAGGCTTGGCAAACCGATTACTCGATGATCAGGAGCTGCTCCTCGTCAGCGCAGAGGAGCCATCGACTTTCGCGCAGGCCGAGCGCGATGTCAGTTGGAGACGAGCTATGCTAGAGGAGATGAAGGCGATCGAGGAAAATGAGACGTGGGAGCTCGTCGATCCACCTCCAGGCTGTCATTCAATCGGGCTCAAATGGGTCTACAAGGTCAAGCGGGACGAGAGTGGCGCTATAGTCAAGCATAAGGCGCGCCTCGTTGCTCGGGGGTTCGTCCAGCGTGAGGGCATCGACTTTGAGAAAGTTTTTGCACCAGTAGCGCGCATGGAGTCAGTTCGCCTACTGCTGGCCATGGCAGCAGCGAAGGACTGGAGCATTCATCACCTGGACATGAAATCGGCCTTCCTCAACGGTGAGCTAGCGGAGGCTGTCTTCGTCAAGCAAGCGCTGGGCTTCGCCGTCAAGGGAGAGGAGCACAAGGTGGTGCGGCTGCGGAAGCACTCTATGGGCTGCGTCAAGCCCCACGAGCATGGAACGCCAAGCTCGATTCCACCCTGGGTGCGCTTGGGTTCACGCGCTGCGCGACAGAACACGCACTCTACACGCGACGACGAGGGAAGGAGGAGCTCGTCGTCGGCGTGTATGTGGATGACTTGATCATCACCGGGGCACAAGAAGGGGACATCAACAGCTTCAAGCGCGAGATGGCAGCTCGTTTCCGCATGAGCGATCTCGGGCAGCTCTCTTACTACCTCGGCATCGAGGTGAAGCAGGGGAGAGACTCCATCATTCTCTGCCAGCGTGCATATGCGGGGAAGCTGTTGGAGCGGAGCGGCATGGCTGACTGCAAATCATGCGCGACTCCGATGGAGGAGCGGCTGAAACTGACGAAAGCCAGCACCGCAGGGAAGGTGGATGCCACACTCTACCGAAGTATCGTCGGCGGGCTACGCTACCTAGTCCACACGAGGCCAGATATCGCATTCGCCGTGGGCTATGTCAGCCGCTTTATGGAGGACCCTCGAGAGGACCATTGGGCTGCAGTAAAACGGCTGTTGCGCTATGTCAAGGGGACAGTGGATCAGGGCATCATTTTCCCCAAGACCCGCGACGGAAGAGAGCTGCGGCTCACGGTTTTCAGCGATGCGGACATGACAGGCGACATTGATGGGCGGAAGAGCACCTCCGGTGTTCTCGACTTCCTTGGATCGGCCCCAATCTCATGGCAGTCGCTGAAACAGAAGATTGTGGTGTTGTCTACGTGCGAGGCGGAGTACGTGGCGGCAGCCACAGTGGCGTGCCAGGCGGTCTGGCTGCGTCGGTTGCTGGGAGAGCTGACCGGCGAGGAAGCTCGTCCACCAGCTCTGATGGTGGACAACCAGCCCGCCATTGCCCTTGCAAAAAATCCAGTCTTCCATGACCGGAGCAAGCACATCGATACCCGTTTTCACTTCATCCGTGATTGTATCGATGAAGGACATATTGTTTTGGAGTTTGTCGAATCCGGACGGCAACTCGCAGACATCCTTACCAAACCACTCGGCCGTCTTCGGTTCATGGAGCTAAGGACCAAGATTGGAATGGTGGGAAACAAACAAGAACAACAGGATTAGGGGAAGAATTGTAAGAAATATAATCTGATGTTTCCTTGTTGTTTCCTTGCAATTTCATTACACTTTCCTTGCAGCTGCAAAGCACTTTCATAGCAGCCATTTTAGGATGATTTTTAGGACTTTTCAACTTAAGTAATTTCTAGGAAAGTCACTAGATAGTTGTTTTTAGTTCTTATAAATAGGGGTGCAGTTTTTGTTTTGTAAACACACAGAAAAACTTAATACTCAATACATTGAGTTGTTCACAATCTTCTTCTTTCATCCTAAAAGTGTTAGTTTGTGCCGGAAGCATTTTTGCTTACCTGAGCAGTGAACGGGCAGGGATTAACAACACTGCTGGGATTCCAACGTTTCCAAGAAAATTTCAGTTCCAGTCTCTTTGAACTGTTATCGATTTCTGTTTTTTGATAACTAACTTGGGCTTCTTCTGTGGAGTTCAAAGGTCAGTATTTTTTATTCTGTTTTCCGGGGAAATGTTAGAAAGGAGAAAATAACATTTTACTGCTGCTGTATTTAGGGGCTTTCTTCACTTTGAGCTGTTGCTGTTATTGCTGTTTTGAAGTTTTACCTCTTATTACTTAATGCTCGTTTACTTTTTGGTTATTAAGCTAGTCCAGTTCAATTTTCTTTGTTGTTTAGATGCTTACACAATGGTTTTATTGGTTTGAAGTTGAAGGAGATGCTGATAGTGAAGTCTGGTCTTTGACGATATATAGTTTCCGTTGGATCCTCTGGAAATGAGCCAATTTCTTGATGCTTCATAGTTCATAGTCCAACTTTCTTGTTCTTGTTGATCAATCTTACATTTTATGCTAATGGAAGTGCTAAAAAATGCGGCTACTGAGTTTCTAATGTTATTGTATACTGAACATAGTATTGTCAAACTCCCATGGTTTCTGCTGCTATAGCTTGTGTGTGGGCACACTATACACATAGCATCAGTAAAGCTCAAACTTTCTTTTCGTGCTGATGCTTAAATCATCTATTACCTTCCCTAGAGATGTCACAATTTTTTTTTGGTTACTGTAAGGTCAAACTTACTGTTCCTTCTTTATGGTTGAGCAAAAAATAGTAGTATTATTGCCTCTTCTTGTTTTCTTTTCTAACCATTTTCTTTGTCCTCGTGTCACAGAATAAAAAAAAAAGCAGAAAAGTGGGGAGAAAAAAAAGAAAAAATAAAAGGAATGGCAGCCCAAGATCTTGGTTTTCCCTCCACCAACTCAGCCTCTTCGAGACACATCGTGCCCCGTGTAAGTGGAGATTTTGTACGATACGGAACTTGATCATATTATTACCCTATTATTGAAGGGTAAGTGGAGATGTTATAAGCTGAACAACAGGAATTTATGTGTTCTTTTTTCCAGTTGAAAATGCTAATGTCTAAGGAAATGCAATATTGGGAAGTTACATAAGAACACCATAACTTAAAACTTCTATCGAGATCTGGTTTGCCAGAAATGGATTTGTACTAGCAATTTTTATTTTTTTTGGGGTTCTGTTCAGGTACTTGGATCTGGAGATGGTGGAGTTTAAGGTGTCCGAGGTGTTGATTGCTGCCGTTAGTCAAATAATGATGAAGAGTAACTCAAAGGTAATATGATAGTAGACAATTTGCCCCCAAATCTTGATAAGGAGACTGTATGGGGATACTGAGAGGCTTCAGCAAATCCTGGCTGCTTTCTTGGTCGTATCCGTTAATTACACGCCGAGCTGGTGGGGGCGGATTGCTGATGCAGCCACTTTGAGGAAAGATTATATTGGGGAATCAATTCAACTGGCTCATTTGGAATTCAGGTATCTCTTGAATAATAAAAACAGTTCATATTAAAGTACGCTTGAGCTTCAGTCAATTTGGAATGAACCTAACTTGGGTAGTATTTAAAACATGTAACTAATTTTTTATAACATTTTTTCGACGCTTTTTATATTTTGGTAAGGCAATTACATAGTTGCCTTATTTTATTTTATTTTTTGGCGGGCCAGCCCGCGGCGTGCGCGAGTCAACCTACGGGCTTTGGCTCATTTTGATGGCTTTAGTTAGTGAAGATGATAGATATTCAAGATGAATTTGAAAAATGTTCAATATACTCTTTATTAGTCCTTTTTTG